TGCATTACTCTGTGAAATGTATACCTGGTTGTGATGTACATACCACCAAGTTATTATAACATTAAAAACAGTATAGTGCAGGCATTATATTTAGAATAATAGGAATATAGAGTTTCTTTAGTTTACTGTACACTACTTTCTAAGTATTTTACATTTGGATTCCAGACAGCGGTAAAGATCTGGCAACCTGCTGCCAGCTCTTTTCAGTTTTTTGACGGTGAATTTTCAGTGTAGAGTAAATTCTTACACATTTTGGTAAGAAAACCTTCGTCAGAGCATTTGACAATCTTTTTATTAACTTATTATGTTATTATAAGGCGAGGAGGCAGACTTGAGTGAGTCATGTTGCAGCATTGGCTACGGTCACAAAAGCACATTCCCACAATATTTTCTGACCAAGAAGATCTATCATTTAGGAATATGGTGACGTTCAAAAGCTTAAATCAATACTTGCATTATGCTATTTATTTTTTACATGACTTGGACGGCATAACACATATATTGGAATGGATTGTAAAGAACCAATCAGAAATAGTAAAACATAAATCAATACCGTACATAATTTAAAAAAAATATATATATAGATAATTCAACAACCTAATTGAATCTCATACATTATACAAGTACAATAATAAAACTCAGTCAACCGTTAAACACAGAAACTGCTATATAATGTAAATGACTACTCTGATGTACAGTAACTACACCAACTGTGTGTGTGTGTGTGTAGATGTATTCATGTGGATGTCTGCATCGCGTTACTGAAAATAAAAATACAAATTTGTTCTATTTTGTTTATGCTATGTTGGACCCCATTTATATGCTTCCTGGGGAGTCATTATTATGATATGCACAAAACATTAAATGTATCTGACATCTGTGTTTATGTGAAAATATATTTTTAATTAATTTAATTAATTAATTCCTTCAAACTGTTCAGACTCAGTAACTGATTAGAATAAATAACACTCATTTCAGTACATATACACCAGATCCACTTTAGTTTGAAGGGCTAATGCTAATCTGTGTTTGTGATGCAGGACAGAGGATGTTTGCTGAACTAACATGCGTGACCTTCTACATCGGTAAAGCTAACTTACAGCGCTCTGGACTTGAGTGATAAAGTCTCTTGCATAAATCCTCAAAGGTAATTAATTCCACAGGTGTGAAATCAGACAGTCACCGAGTCGGACCCAGAACCAAAGGAGACACACATGAGAGAAATATATAATGGCCATAGTTTACCTAGTTTAGTCGACAGTATAGGTAACAGGAGAAAAATAGTTTATTATGAATGTCTTTAATATGTTTAATATGTTTAGTCAGTTTTTTATTATTTGTTTTTTTTATTTTGTTTGTAAAATTGTGTAGAATTATCTTATTACAAAACTTGGCAGAGAACTTAGAAGAGAGAATAAGCAGAGATGTTGTACTGTATAAGGCCAATCTTTAAAATCTAATTTGATATTATATAATTAGATAATAATTTATTATATTAATGTACCCATCTACCTTCTTTACTTTAAAAAATAAATCCTAAATGAGAAATATAAGAAAGAAGCAGAAATGGTTAAAAGCTGAAATGTACAAAACATTGCACAGAGGGGGAAAACATCTTCTTGAGTTTTGTTTTTCTAATAATATTTACATCATGACGAATCAAATGAGACGAGGCAAAAGTCATCCTGTTGTTTCAAAAACACAGCCATCAATCTCAAGAAAGACTTAATATCCCGCCTACGAGCACACCAGTCCTAAGCAAGAATGGGTGCTAAATAATACAGGACAGTCCTTAACAGGCCTGGGCACATGTCCTGTGTGTGATTACTCTCCAACGGCAATGATTAGAGACGAGTGAGGCCGATGAGGCTCCCAGGGACCGCATGGGAATTGAGCTTTGAGGCATCACAGGGAAAAGACGTATGGATGAGAGAAAAGCTATATCAGATTGTCCTCACATAACTGGAGAGCAATCACCATATTCACTGCACAATATTTAGATTACATAACAACTCTTAAAGATTGGCACTATCTCCTTGCTGTGACAACATTTTGAAATCAATAGTGAACACAATTCACTATGTAGCATTGTTTGTCAAGTTTGTGTTGCAAAGGGCAACTTGTCATTATAATGAGAGGACTGTAATTCCCAGCATAGGGTGGATAAAATAATCTAAGTTGATGCAAACATTGGTAAAGTTGGTCATCAGCCTCAAACATAGCCTGTTCTCTTTCAAAACAGGGCACTTTCATTTATAATATCCATTACTTACATTGGTTCTTTCATCCATCACTTCCCTCAAAAGCTCCCCTCAAACAGATTTTGTCTTAACCCTTAAAAGTCTATCTTGTCGTCGGCGACAAATGCGCACATGTTTTACAAGTGATCAATTTACTCGCGAACGGTAAATGGTAGCGACCTACTTTTTTTCTCTTTGTGAAGTAGACATCCCAGGCATTACAGAAATACCTTTGGTTTGTCTGTGGCATTGATCTATTATATTAACGGTCTGTGGCTCGTATGTAAGTAAGTAAGTAAGTAAGTCATTGTAAAGTAATGGCCAATTGTAAAGTTTTTCACTCACGCTGGACTCAGGGGAATCACACAAAGATTGTCAGAGAGTAAGATGGCTCACTTCTCTGTGTACTTGCTGCAGCATAGGCAGCAGCGCTCAGAGGAGCCAGAGGAGAGCGCATTATTGATATAGACAATAATAAATACAGTAAAATTATATTATGTGTATAAAATGTATTTATATATAAAAAATAGATGTTTTATTTATATTTTTGTCTTAGTTTCTTGTGTTTTACGTATTTTACAGCTGAGATACTGAAGAAACCCCAGCCTTATAGACAAACTGCTTCAGGATGGGCATCAGGAGTTCAGCGTTTTTGGCTTTTATAGTGGAATTATGTAAAAATTATAATAGTCACAGGTTAATTTTTTTCCCCCATTATCACGAAGCCCCTAAAAAACATATTTATGCAGTCTAAAAAGTTGTTTATAGCATTTCATTGTGTTTTTTCAATACATTTTTGTTAAATTGATTTTCCGTTTCATTTTTTTCTTTGTCTTTATGATTCCATAATTTTTATATAATTGATATGACAGCTCTACAATATAAATATTCGAAAACCCCAGGTCGTACTGAAAAAAAAAGTGTACTGCATGTCTCTGCATAGAAAAATGACTCTTTTATGAGCAATTATACACAAAGAAAACCAGAAGACGAAAGTTCCCCAAAATGACCCTAGACCACTATACCTGGTATATTATCCGATTTGTGACGCTTTCATAGGCATCTTGCTACTTTTCCCAAAAACACACTTTTTGGAACTGTAATTATAAATACAACTTGCCATCATCCAGCTGTGTGGAACCCATTGAAACCAAGCAACTCAATGTCTCACTCATCAATCATGTTTTTTGCTGTCCGTAATGTATTGTGTATGTGTGTATGAAGCTCTTTGTGAACCTAGTCTGGAAAAGGCACTATGTATAAAGTTTACTTACCTACCATGATTCCTATTAAGTTTAGGGCTAGGGTTAGGAAAATCTAAACATCAGACCATTCTCGGACCATGAGGAGTGCTTACATATATACTGTAGGCGTGGCTTTTTCCCATGCACTTAAAAAGCATCTATCCATCTTGACTCAGTGGTAATATCCGGTTTATGATGATTAATCAAACACCTCAAAGTCACACCTCAATGGGCGTGCCCATGTTTACATACAATTTGCTTAATACATCTTAATTGGAGATATCCGATTCTCTCTCCTCTCACGCTGACCCACCCTGTAGGACTTAGAAATACCCACTTTCAAACACAATCTTGACAAAAGTAAACAATTCACAGACAGAGATAAGTTGGCGTATGTGAGCTGTTTTTCCAAAGACAATTCTTCTCTTGCAGTGAAGTGGAAAAAGCAGCCCGAAAAAAACCTTGGCCGCAAAACACTCAAAAACACTCATTATCGACATGTGAAAGCGAGTCCAAAACATCCACCATTATTTTTAATCAACTTGGCAGTGCAGACAATAAGTGTGCCTCGACAGAAGAAATAAAAGAAGTGACGGCAAACGTTTTTTTGTGCTATTGTGTCTGCATTAAAACACTAAGAAGTTTCACAGTGGACAGCCGTACAAGATGGAAGTAAGGCACTGATTAACGGGCAGGTTTACAGCGGCTTGTTGGGTGCTGGGGGTGAGTTAGTGCATGTATGTGTTCGTTGGATATAATAAAAGGAGAAAGCACACCAGGCGGGAGACTAACATAAATGTATCGATCTCATTGCTTCTGTGACCACAGTGATGGGTCCAGCAGAAGCCCATTATTCTTAGGTTTAAAGGGTAGATACTGTATGGCTGACCTCTTGCTAGCACACAAACACCTACACACACAGACAAAGACACACGCACACACACGCTAGAGGTTTGGATGGAGAAATTCAAAATGTTTTACAAGAACACTTATGAATGGTGTGTAGTGTATGCAACATTTAGAGCAACTTGGTTGTGTTGTGTTTCATTGTGTTGAAATGAAATGTGTTCGCATTATCATACCAGGTTAAGTAATGAATATATACAGTACATCAAAAAGCAGGGAAGGGGAAAAATCTGCAACCAAATCCAATTTGTTCATAACTACATTTTCTTTGATCCAGTAGAGAGTCCTGAGAGCAACATTTTGTGAAGAAAGACCAAAACATGCTGTGTTTATCTTGTCCTCATGTTGTCTATAACATACTGATTGGCTGCTCCTCTCTATTTCACTGAAAAGATATGACAGAAGGCAAAACAACTAGATAGAGAAGAGCAAAGAACAAGTTACATGGATTTTATTCCATAGGTCATTCTTTGTGGTTTCAAAGGTAGGCACTTAAAGAGTAAAGAGTTTTGAATATGTTTCCAACCTATACCATAAACCTGAATGTATTTACAGTCACTCGTACAGGAAAGCCTCTAATAATGTGCGGATTGTGAAGTGGCGTCCTTACCTTCTTGTAGAGGGAGCGCAGGTCTCTATACTGCCACATACTGCTGAGCACCTGAGAGGCTGCCTTCACCACTTTAGCTGAGTGTCTGGAGAGAGATAAAGACAATAATAGTCATTTCTCTTAGATCCCATTGCTTCAAACAATAATTCAGTGTCTCCTGTCTCTCTCCCACTCCACTGCTAGAGACTTGGTGCTCAGGTTTTTCAACAAGTGGTCCATTGCTTGGTTTATAGCAGAGAATGTCTTTAAAATAGGGAGGTGCCAGATGAGTGTGAAATGACCCTCTCTGCCATGCTAATAGCCTTGTGCCAGACACTTGATGAAAAATGAAGCCAGTTGCTAGTAGCAGCCACTCAAGAGGCCATGCCCTTTTCAAATGCGAGAAGAGGGAAAGATGATTTACATTTCATTTCAATATTCACATATATTTTCCCATATTTAGTGAATTAAAAGTGTTTCCTTTATGGTGCATTATTGTTAATATACAGCCACACATATGCAACTAAAATACTCTATAGGTTACGTCCATGTAATAGAATTGTATTTCACTCGGAGGGCATGTGCCATAAACTAAGATTAGAAGTCTGACTTTTGACAGTTACCATAGTTACTGGGAAAGATTTTTCACTCTCCACCACAATGTTAAACTCTAGGCTCTTTGTGCGAATGTTGTATTGTCACATGAAAGCAACCTATTGCACCTTATTGCACCTTCCCCTGAACATTTTGTACCTACACTCTAGTCACAGGTACCAGATGAAGAAATGTTGCGAAAAAAAAGGCTTACGCAACTGTCAGAGGCCACTCACAACAAATTGCACTATTTCAACTTCTAATCAAATCATCACAGCCTCTGACCTTCATTTCAGCTTTTGGATACCTTACATTCACCCGCTTTGCACTCATTATCTACGTCTGCCGAAGCCTCCAAATGTGAAATTACTCAAGCCGTAGACATCTATTCTCCGTCCAGCTATTCAGAAAAAATTAAGACATGTGACCTATTAGTCTCGCTGCGGCTTCCTCATCTCTTTGTGTCGGTCTCCACTCACAACAATTAATCAATGTCTGACCGCTCGGAGTTGACCCTCTTCTTCTGGTAACACCCAGCGTCATAGTAACCACTGGCCATCGCGGCTAACCCAAACAACCCGCTCAGTCGCCAACGGCAACAGCCCTTCTTTATTTTCACCGCGTACTCTTTGATGTTTGCCTCTGGCCCTTTGTGGATGAATGGTCACACGGACTGGACACTGCTTATGAATGATGGATTACTGGCATCTTTTTCGCCACTGGTCACTGCTGGACAGCAAAAACCAAGCAACAATTAGGGAACAGTCAATTTGAAGGTATGATCGTGATATATCGCGATACTATAAACCATTATTGTGACATTTATATATGGCTTCAGGAAAAACTACTAACTAAGATGCAACTGTTTTTCTCTGTCTCATTAAAGAATGGGAGTGTAAGTAAGACGCTGCATTAACCATTTTAGGTACGAATAAAGGTGTTCATTAATTTAAAAAAACAACATTTGGACTTTGTATGAGGAGAGTATGGTGAAAATATTGATATACATATTACTGAATCAATGTTTTAGAATACTTTCTTCTTACTTTATTGGCCTGTGGAAGGGGCACAAGAGATTACCAGCCAAAACCAGTATAAATTACTATAACTATAACAATAACTATACTTTATTTTCAAGAATCCTCTGGCACAACAGCCCTGTACGGCAGACTCCAGCAGGGGGCAGTGGGCGAGTGGGGCGCACATGTTTTCAGATGTGGTCTGCAGCAGAGTCATGGGATAAGGATTGTGAAAATGTCACTTACTTGTCCCCTTTACTGCGCGCAATCCCGATGAGCTTCTCGATCCCCCCAGCGTCCCGTAAGGCTTTGGCATTCTCCATGTTCTTTGTGATGACTTCGTGCAGTGCGCAGCAGATGGCGGTCACCGTGTCGTCGGACATGGCCTTACCGGCAGAGTTGGCGTTCACCGATGTGGCACTGCTGGTGGTGTTGTTGTTACTGATGCTGCTGCCCGGTAACCGATGGATCAAGTCTCTCATGGCATATTTACCTGAAGATAGCAAGAGGAAGGAAATGGATTAATTCTTTGTCTCAGCACAACCTTTAGCAGAGACAATTTGGAGAAAACTATGAAAAATCTGGATCAAAATTGCTTTTAGATGAATTGTGTGGAGACTATGGCATTACAGTATGAAAACAATATCAATATATTTCATAGTGAAAACACAAAACTTCCCAAGGGAAATATCTCTTATTACAATATAGACTTAATGGAGACTAATAGATTATGCAGGGGGGAGAGCAGAACAACAACTTTAAAGTCCTGTGCTTTTCTGGAAGAGGTCTCAACTATAGACACGCACTAATGCATACATGCTGGGAATCCAATAAGAGAGTCTTGTGGTATTTTAGAAAAACGGCTGGCCGCTGAGAAAATGAAAAAGAATTGACATTCACTGAAAGAGTGGTGGCAGAAATCGAAGCCGACAGAGACGGCATAATTAAGAATGGTGAGAGAAGCTGTCAGATATGAGGTCTTTGTGTGACCAGGCCAGAGCAACATTAATGATACAGATAGATATAGATAGATAGCATGTATAATAATGACCTAAAGTACATGATTGATTCAGCTGAAATCACCGGTTACTGCCACCTAATGTACAAAACGTGTTCCATGATGGAGATGACCAGCACAAATATAGACTAAGAGGAAATTATAAAATATATTAGCTAACATTTCGACTAACCTTAAAATCAATGTGTATCTCAGTGCATGGAGTCAACATTTGGAGCAATTTAACAGTGGAATCAAAAGCATGCTCACTTATAAATTATGCTTAAGTTTTATGTGTTTATGTTTAAGAAGTACTGAAGACGTACATGGAGGAAAGAGTGCTCCCTTTAACACAGAACAGGTAAGGAGTTTGGAAAAAGGTTTGGAAAAAGAGGTCAGTGAGGCCTGTGTGAATGTGCGTGTGTGTGTGTGTGTTGTCTTATCTTGTCAGTGGTATGTGTTGTGTTTGAATATGTGAGAGGGGAATAGACTAATTTAAGTGTCTGCTTCATCCAATCACTTTCAAACCATGTACATTTGTATTTGTCTTGAAAATCAGTTAGAAGTATAACAATCAGTTATAAGTATATCAAGCACTTCAATTCACCTGCTTTCCAATGCCCCCATTTAAGTAACCTTCCTCATAAATACGCTCCAATTCTGTGTTTTCACTCTTGAGCAATTTATCACAGTAACACCTTAAGTCCTCACAGACTAGTGGCAAATCCCTGCTCATATTACCTCTAATAAGTCTGAGTGATCTGGGAGTGACTGAATGACCAAATTGTACACAGAGGCAGGTCACTCAGAGGGCATTATCCCCTTTATATGTACGGCAGCTCTGCAGGACACCTCCATTATCACACACTTATGTAAACACCACAAATGTACACTTTTATAAAAATTGCAAAGTTGATCTGACACGGATTCTCTCTATTATAGGCTGTGATGAGTTAATTGGACCAGAGTTATCTTGGGCTTGCAGGCTAGCGAGGTTAAGCTTGCCTTTGTCTTTCAGCCGTGAGGACAAAGTTAAGCCTCCAAAACGGCTATGACTTGACAGAACGCGAATCAAACCGGGTAATTTCCTGACTGATTTGCCGCTTGATAATGCAACCTTGCGGCTCAGTCTACGTAATGATGTGACTAATTTCTGAACGAGTGACTGTTTACGTATTAAGCAGCAGCTCATTTAAGGACCGACTGGCGGATAATTCACTGCGTCACTGACATTGTATTGATTGACTGGAAGTGTGATTGAGTGACTGAGTCGTTTGTCAAGTCAGTGGCTTGGGGGGGATCCAGAAATGTCAAAGATCATTGAGAAGAACCATAAAGCCTTGCCCAACCTGGGTGTGATCCTATTAACATTTCCTGCTCATGGACAGATGCATTGATAAACTGCTGTCAGCATATCTCTGTAAATGATATATGCATACAGGTCTGCCCATGCATATCAATAACCGCAGAATCCTTATCTCTACAGGGACTTCCTCCATAAATAAGATGCCTCATTTAACCATATTTTCTGCATCCTCTTCACATTTGTTCACAATGGTTTAACCGTAACATAAACTATACCAGTCATGTCAAACTCGGGATCGTCGTTCAAATCCGGCCCGCAATGCAAGACAATTTTAGTGGCCCCTTGTAATGGGGCAATGGAAATGAAGTTCTGCCCCTGAACAAAATTAGTTTGACACCTCTGGACTAAACTATTCTTTAGATTGTGGTTTACGCTTGGTTTACTCTTGGTTTAGTCTTGATTTACTCTTGGTTTAGCCTTGTTTTAGTCTTGGTGTCTCATTTAGAGAAGGTGACAGTGAAGCACATGCAATGAAGACTATTATGCCTAAGGAAATACCTATATTCTGATTTAATACCTCAAGGATATTATAATCTTCCTCTAGTCATACAATGTGAAAGACTTAATGAATAATAAAATGGTGACATGAATGAAAAGGTTTTCCAGCCGTTCTATATGAATAGAAGCGCAAATGTCAGCGAGCCAGTCAAGACATATTGGAAGACGTTTCTATCTGCATTATAATAGGTGTGCGAATATTCAAGCACAGTTTGTCTTTCCAATTCTGTATAAGTTGACAAAAGACACACTATCATTTGAACAGCTGAGCAAACACTCACCACATGGCAATAAAGGCTGCTAAAGTGAGATTGTGCGTTTAAGCTGTCAGCGAAAAGAGCCTTTGACTATTACTGTTTTACAATTAAAATCAATTCTTTATGAGTGAGCCATGACACCTCCATCAAAAAGCTCCAGCCACAACAATCTCTATAGTCCTTTAGCAAAGAGACATACCCCCCTCCTTTTATTAAAGTGTGGTTTTCAACAAAGCCTGTCTTGAAGCCCAGACACAAGCCCTTTGGTTGGCTCATAGTCTAATAAAAGACAATTACACCACTTCAGCACCAGCCCTCTGCAGCTGGGAGGCACCTGCAGTAATGTATTCTTGGGCTGCATTCCCACATGTGCTTTCCCCGCATCGAGAAGGCCGTGCTTCATCAGGACCATAATGGCTGATTTGATTTAAAGAGATCCAATTACCCCCAACAATGGAGCAATTTGATTGTTTACTGACGGAGAAAGGACTGTTCCCGAACTCAAATGGGAGGTAATTGTCTCCGATGTGGGGGAAGACCAGGTGATAGGTAAAAGTGTGATGTAAACACTAGTTATTATACAGTTAACAGTATGACCTCACGAATGAAACATAAAAACATACAATATAATCAGTTTTTTTTTATTAGAAAACTAGACCAGACATTATATGAGCCAACATAAATGCCCATATTTATTATTCGTTATCATAATAATTAAACAAATTGTGGATGCTAAATGCAATAATGCACCTACAAAAGTTGTGGCTATCAATATTATTTGGCATCTACAATTTAGCTTAGTGAATAGATGTTTTTCAGAGCCCCGGCTTTGATTCGTATAAAACAAACCATTGCTTCTATCAAACAGGTTAAAAGCTATGAATGTTCCTCATAATTGTTTTTTCTTTTGTGTTTCACCAATAAACACAAAATAATGAATTCTCAAAATGTGTCCCAGTAAATTTGGCCACTTGAGTGGACAAATTGGTTTTGTTAAAAAGAAAACAGTGGAATCATTAAAACAATCAAATTCATACTAATCGCCTTTGGGATGTGGTCTTTTAAAAGCTACGGCTGATATTCACATTTGTGCTCCAATTATGAGTCAATTTATTAGTCCCAATGGACAAAGGCAACTCCAGAGAGGAGAGATGTGGGCAAGTGAATAAAATAAACAATAAACTAAATGTGATTACTGTGCAGACAAGAGCGTTTAAATATGTTATAAAGAAATATAAATTGAAGAGGCAATGTTGTGATTCTTCATGAGTGCTGTTCTTGTACACACATCACATTTGTTTTGGCCTATGTGACTGCTGGTATCAATGTAAGGTTGATCAATCCGTTTTCTTTTTACTTGCCAAGATATAATTTCAAATGCCGATTTAAAGGTGACGTCGTCAATTTCAATTGTATAACATTTTTAAAAGACTGCATGTTTTATACCATTTGACGATGTGCTATGATGTAAATTAGATATATTCCAAAAGAAGCATATCTCAAATAGTCCCCCAACTTGGCAAAACCATGGCTAGTTGGATTTGCTGAAGAAGAATAGTTCGACCAATGGCAAGAATCTGAATACATTTTGTCCAATCAGGATGCTGTAACGGTGAGCATGGGCGGGTCTGGTGCATTTCTCTCCCTCTCTCTCTCTCACAATTTGAAAAGTAACTGACCATCACCTAAATGGCTGACTTTGCCAGGTGGATTAGATTCAGCAATATACAGGAGGTGGTGCTATTGCGCTACTGAGCAATTACAAACATTTTAGAGGTCACGCTTATTACTTAATGCTTTAATGGATATTGATGAAGAGAAGGAGAGGAGAACGGGTTTACAAAGATATCCAGTGTTTGTTTTAATCTAGGGAGAGATTTATTTATAGCTCATCTGTTTGTCTCTTTGTTTCTACTTTTCATATTATTAAAGAATTTTGAAAATATGTCAGACCTTTGCTTGATCATTACGTCTCTGGACAAAAAGTGCCATATATCTCAATAATCATGTCAGCAAGTCATATTTTGTTGTTACTACAGGCTCTGTATATGTTTCTTTCTTTCTTTCTGGTCTTTCAGGATTATTCTGCCTGACATTCTGCCAGTGGAGCTGAAGATGGAAGAAGCAGCAGGCAGAGTACATGCCCTGCCCTTTCACACCAGAGATTCCTTACAAAGGCGACACCGAAATGTCATAAAATACTGCCACAACATTGACAATGCTTTGTGCAGATGTGTCAATGCACACATGCGGCAGATTCAAACATGAAAATAAACATAACAAATATTCAATACAGACAATGTAACAAAAATATAATAATACACGTGTGGCTGAAAAAGCTCTGCACACACTTTACTAACACAGGTTCACTAAAA